CTAACAGAAAAATAGGTACACAAAAAAAACACCAAAAAAAAAACAAAAAAACTTAGCAATACAAACATCACAAAAAACTGGAGGTGATTTTAAGTGCTCTGGAAAGTTGTATTATAGTGCAAATGTACTTGTTTCATAGACATATTAGTTGTCTTTCCTTATAAATATAATGATATGTGTTATGATTGCCAATAAGACAACTGTCAACCAAAGTTAAAATGCAATGGATGTAAGCAATTATAGTCAATCGTACGACCTACTACAATTAGAAAACCTATTACGTATGGTCGTTTATCATAGGCCTTGACATGAAAATTATGAAATATGTCAATAAAGAAAACTTAATGCATCATCTATAACAAAACAATTTACGAAAATAACATATGACAGACATAAACCACGGCCAACTACTGAATTACAGACTCCTGACTTGGGACCGTCACATAAAGAATATGGCGCTGATAAACATGTTTGTAAGCGCTCAACCTCCCCCCCCCCCCCCCCCCCCCCCCCCCCCCGCACACTCTTTGTACTCATCTGGGAAAGTGGTGTAAAAGCACAGCATCTATACTATTAAAGGAAGAGTCCGATTTCATTGAGCCGCAACTCCTCTGAATCCATACAAAGTCTGAAATATTATTCAGATGTATTATTTTGTACTTCCGAAAGGAGTAGGCCCAGTAAAACCCCTTTATGGCCCCTGAATATAGCAGTTTTACAAAATTGCTAAAATGCAAACTTTCAGCTATTTATTGGAAAGTAGAATATTTTTTTTACAATACCATGCACATGTATGGGGTACTGGCATCATCAAGTCAAGCAAAATATCTGAAATTTTCACAATTTTATCATTTAATCTAATTTTTGTACGGTTTCCGTCTTAAATGGAAGTGGCCGCATTTGTGTTTATTCTTTATATTAAAATGTATGTCGTATTTGATGATAATAAATAACATATCTAAAGGTTGAAATTGAACACGAATGCTGCCACTTTTGACAAAACCATTTGAAAAGTGTCATTGTATAGGATAGTTCAGACAGATTATTCATATTCAAGCTTGAATTTGAGCATCTTGAATGACTAAATCAGTTTAAATCTTTCACATAAACTAATGGATTTGTTTGAAGTAGACACTTAAGTGTTCAAAATGTATCCAAAATCTGTCATCAAATGTACTTGACGTTTTGTGCCAAAATTTGCCCTTACCGAACCTACTCCTTTGTCTTTTCACAAAACATGCCAATTTTTAGCAAAAATTCACACAATGAACGAATAAATCTGATCTATGATACAATGTAAATTCAAAGTAAATAAAAACAAGAGATGAATAATTATAGTTAAAGTATTATACCGCTGTGAAATGTTAAACAATTTCAGAAAAACATCAACTTTGAAAAAAATTACGTCATAATATACACAGGTAAATGAAAATAATTTTGTAGTTAAGTATACTTCTTCTTTTTTAACTGATTTGTATTATTAATTCTTACTAGAAGATGCTCGGGAAATCGCAAATGAGGTCGAGGTCAGGTGATGTAAGCCTTAATAGAAACCGTTATACAAATTATAAAAGTGTGATGAAGATGAGAGGATCGCATATTATTCATAATAAGTGAGGAATTCAAATAACAAAACAACAACAATATTTTTTTCAAGCCGTCGCTGAACAATAAATATGCGGTCAGAGACAAATTGAAACTGCGTAAGATAATGTATCTGCATTCAAGGTAAAAAGCATTCAGTTTTTCTACCTTCTGAAATGTAAAGTTTTAAACAAATAGTTAGCCACCGCTGGATAGTAATTCCTTCGTGTAGCATTCTGCGTCTTTCGTTGAAGGTGAGACAAAAACAATACTTTTACATGTAAACTATACAAGAGACAAATTCATGTCTCTAACTATCAAAACATTCATGGCCAAAAACCAATACTTTAAGTGCAATGCTAAACAATATCCGTGATAACATAAAATACCATTGCACTACAACTGAATACTGTATATTATTGAAGAGGGGCGAAAGATACCAGAGGGACATTTAAACTCATAGATCGAAAATAAACTGACAACGAAACGGCTAAAAAAGAAAAAAACAAACAGACAAATAATAGTACACAAGACAAAAAATAGAAAACTAAAGACTAAGCAACACGAATCCCACCAAAAACTGGGGGTGATCTCATGTGCTCCGGAAAGATAAGCAGATCCTGCTTCGCGTGTGGCACCCGTCGTGTTGCTCATGATATTACAAACCAGTTATATAGTTTAATTCGGTAGGTCGCATTCGTGAAAAGGAAACAGGATTGCAGTTACAACATAAGGAATATATCCGATGTCATCTGTGAAACGGTTATTCTATAACGGTCAACCAACTCGTGATGGAGCCCGTAAAATTTACGACGGGATGATTTCAACTCCACCATTTGGAATTATTGGTTTAGTAGCTTCCTTGTGAGTAGCAACCCTCTATCAAGGAAATCATGACAGGAAATACAAGCCCGGGAATATCCTTTCAATTGGGAGATATATGTTCCGTATGCCGCCACTGCTGCAATGTTGCTTCATAAAATGGAAAGTTCACAATTGTGAAGATGAAATGATTTTTTTTTGTCGTAATGTTTTGTTTCAACCGACCCTCATTGTCAATTTCTAGATGTAAGGTAAGATACAGTGTATGACGCAGACTTTACTGTATCTTTTGTATCCTTTATCTCTAGTTCGATGGGATAGACGCGTTCAACATAGTCGATAAATTAGTAGATATATGAAGATGTGGTATGAGTGCCAATGAGACAACTCTCCATCCAAGTCACAATTTATAAAAGTAAACCATTATAGGTCAAGGTACGGTCTTCAATACGGAGCCTTGGCTCACACCGAACAGCAAGCTATAAAGGACCCCAAACAATTACTAGTGTAAAACCATTCAAACGGGAAAACCAACGGTCTAATCTATATATGACCGTTTTTGAATATACTTTAAAGGTATTCATTGATAAATTTATTAATTACTTTTTTTTATGGGTCCTGTTGTCATGCAAATAGCTATAGATTTTTACTATTGATATATCCTTTACATTGACATTGTTTGCTTCTAATGGGGATAAATACTAAAGGTGATTCTAATTAACATCCAAAACAGGATCACGTAAAACAAATACATGAAATCTTGTAGAAATTGAAAGGCACAAATCAATCTCAAGCACTTTTTGCTACTTACTGGTCTATACCTCAACAACGATAAAAGTTAACATCTGACAGCTAATGTAATACTTGACGGTCGTTTACTCACAGGAAGCAATCTATCTAAACTCCTTAAGATGTCGTAAAGTATGATTTAGTCATTACTGTTTTGTCAGCCGATCACCCGCCTGTACAACATACAACACCAGATTAATTACCGATAATTTTCATCGGAAATCCGGTTAAAAATCAAAATCTAGTATCACAAGAAAAATGAAAAAAATATGTATTCAAGTTATATAATATGTTCACGTCTTAATACGGAAGATGTTATGATCTTGATATCAGATATACATTTATTAAAAAACGAAGATTAAATTTTAAATTCTATAAACAAAAGCTGTGTTATAATTTATATCACTACTATCTTCACTTATTCTACATCATTTAACACTATTCACAGAATGTATTAAAAAAATGAAATAAAATACAATTTTAAATTTTATAAACAAAAGCTTTTTCAAAGTATGTACATCTGCTATCTTCCATTATTTTACTAGAAACTATCATCATTCCTGTTTCTTTGTTTATGTCTATTCCACAAGGATGTTTGATTCCATCAGCCTCTGATAGTATGGTCTTAGAGGTTTTACCATCTGGTGATACTACCACGATACTGTCTTTTTCATTAGAAGCTATATAAACAAAGCCACTCTTGTCTAATGTAATTCCTACTGGATATTTGATGTCCTGGTGCTGAAATGTCCACAGCGGTTCACCCGTACATTTTAAGCAGCTGACTTTGTTTTCAGAGGGAATGGTCCAATAGACATTCCCTTGGAATAATGATATACGATCAATTCCTTTCATTTCTACTAAGATTGTATGAGACATGTCATTCAGATTCACTCTAGTACTCTGTCTGCCACCACTACTGATGACCAAAGTTTTACCATCACTTGCTACTCCACAACAAAAATGAGAAAGTTTGATTGTTTGTATAATTTTATTCTTTTCTATATCCACCAGTGTTGTCTGATTGGCTGATCCTAATGTAACAGCTACTGTATTACTTCTGACAAAACAGGCATCAAAAGGATCTTGTGTGAATGTAACTACTGTTCTGATGAAGATGCCATCATTACTGAATAGCAGTAGTGGTCTTTTGTTATACTCAAGTATTAGGAATTGATCATCAGGTAAAATAAGACAGGCAAATATATCGATCATCTTCATCTCTTTTGGAATTGTAAGTCTTGTCAACAAGGATGGCTTTATTTCTTCAATTTCAGGAACTTTTGAAATTAAATGCTGGGCTTGATCTTTTCTTCCAGCATTTATTTGGAGAGTAGAAGAGGTGGTATTGATATTGATATCTCCATACGATTTGACATCTTGTAAAATTGATTGAACAGCAGATGAAATATTTACCTCTAGATTCTTTTCAATGAAGTGTTCTCCACGTTCTAAATCGTCTATGTATTTTCCGTTTGTGATGTAGATTTCTCAATTTCTCTTAGACCAATATACATCTGTAGCTCTGTTGCATATTGCGTCATTTTGGCAAACTGGCTCTGCATTTGGTTTATCTGACTAGATCGCTGTTCCAGGTGCTGCACAAGAGTGGCCATGTTTAATTTCAGCTTTGAATGTTTAGACTCTAAGTCATTAAGTATGTCTTGCTCTAATTTGTTTAAGTAATCATTGATAGACTTCCTCATATACTTGATTTCCTCAACGGCTTTCGTTTTCTGAGTACAGATGGTACTGATCCTAGTTTTCATGTATTTTATGGCTGCATCTAAGTTTTCCTTCACAACCTTCAAATCTTTTTCAAAAAGTTGAACTGAGGCAGATGATTTTACTTGCTTTAGGATATCAGACAAGGGTTTCAGATCTTGGCATTTCTGGTGTACATCGGTGATGCACTGGACACAGCATGGACATGCATGAAAAGAACAATAAAGTTCAAACTTCTTCTTGTGGTCTCTGCACCTACTGCTTATTTCTTTCATGAATTTAGGTAACTCGTGGTAATCTTCAGATGACATGGTTTTATGATTCTTAGACAGTCTTGACTTGCTGTGAGGTTTTTTACAGTCTTCACAAAACAACACCTCACATTCTGTGCACCAGGTGACGGCTCTGTTGGAGATTCCATCATCAAGACAAATTGTACAAAAGTGCTTGACTGATGAGGCCATTACTTCATCTCTTTATATCTAAAACATGTGAAAACACTCTCTAAAGTAAACTTTACAGCTATAAATACAATAGTCAAAAATATTAGTGTAAGACATATAAATACAGGTAATATTATCATCATAAAAGATGCATTATGTCCAGATATGTAATGACAAGTACACCTATTACACATGTGTATGTATATTCTCAATCATACAGAACATAATTATCTTGGAATTAATCAACACTGTTCTGCGCCTTTTACCTTTGACATTCCCATAATCAACTAGGCCTTAGTGGTTGTTGTTTGTTGATGTGGGTCATAAGTGTTTCTCATTTCTCCTTTTTTAATACAGATTAGACCATTGGTTTTCCTGTTTCAATGGTTTATTTAGTCATTTCTTGTGCTCTTTATATCTTGCTGTTCGGTGTGAGCCAAGGCTCCTTGTTGAAGGCCGTACTTTGACCTGTAATAATTTACTTTTTACAAATTATGACTTGGATAGAGAGTAGTCTCATTCGCTGTATTCATAATAGGTTAGTAGAGGGAGAACTTAAGGCAGACAATACAGATACAAAATTCAAGGATAGAAGACAATGGTCAACAGAAAAAAAATGAAATTGTATGGCTTTTGTATCATTTTGGCTTCTATGTCACTGACATAACTTTATATATGCTATATATGTTGTACTAATACAACACTGCCCCTGGTAAGGAAAGGGTTGGACGCCCGCTAACATGTTTAATCCCTCAAAATTCCATATGTGCTTGTCCCAAGTCAGGAGCCTGTAATTCAGTAGTTGTCGTTCGTTGCTGCTTATAATATTAAATGCTACCAATCAGGTAATTCCTTTCTTCAGCATTGCTTTTTTGTAATTGTTTAATATGTGTTATGTTATTATCTCATGTTGCCCCTTGTGGCACTATTAATTTGAATAAAGTATATTCTATTGTATTCTATTTGTATATCGTTCATTGTTTTTTACATAAATTAGGCCGTTAGCTTTCTTGGTTGAATTGTTTTACATTTGTCACATGGGGAAATTTTATAGCTATCTATTTGGTATTGGTTTGGCTCATTGTTAAAGACCGTATGGTGACCTATAGTTGTTAACTTCTATGTCATTTCGTCTCTGGTGGAGAGTTGTCTCATTGGCAATCATACCACATCTTCTAAGTTTTATATTAAAACTGTTCAAAGAAATACAACTTTAAAATGTCTATGAAACAAATACATTTGCACTATATTATTTCTTTTTTGATACAACTTATTTTCAAAAGATTGAAATCCTACAAATACAACTTTTTCTTTAAAATTTTGCAAACAACACTGTAAATTGTATTTGTACAAAAAAAGGTTTCTACTTTTTTAAAACTTTCAAAATCATTATGTTGTCCTTAAATAATGAATGGCCAGTGAATTGATTGATATTGTTCAAAAGGAATATAATATACTGCTTTGAGCAAGTAGGCAGGATTTTCCCTGGCTATACTACAGCTCTCAGATTCATTGAATGAATAAATAATGCATAATAGTTGAACTTGGTATATTTCCAGTAGATACATTTTTGATTGAACTAGGATACTTATGAACATTTAACTGTCCTGCTCTTTTCAATTACGTAAAAACTTCAGCCACCACACCCTTCTTTTACAGTCTATGTGTTGCAGATATTGAAAAAGAACCCAAAATAAGAGACTAAGTGGAGATATTATCTACACAATTTGTACTGTGTCAAACTGAGCAATTATTGCTCAAAGAGGACAATTCATTTGTTTTCAGTCACGGTGAAAGTTATCATGTATCTACTTTCTGTTTAAATGAAACATTGAATTCTTATTTTATCATAAATGTTATGCGGTAATTACCATCGACAGTTACCAGAAATTAATAAATTATGCAATTTGAGTAATAAAGTAAATAAGCAATTGGATTATTAAAAAATTCTTACAATGCACATATCGACAGTCGGATAAGAATTTGCACAGGGAAGTAAAATATCCAATTTCTAGGACACTTACGAAGAAGTATTGATTTTTAAAAGATTTAAATACTTGTCTTACCAGTTTAATATTTTGTGTTGTGTACACACAAATTTAATATGTCTTAAATGTATTGATAAAATGTATGTACTGTTAGTAAACAAAAGCACCATACAAACTTTTTCCTATAACAAACTAATTAAATGGACTGTTTGTACATTTAAATAAAACAACTTAGACATTTCTATTGCATTAAACACTTCAAATTTGTATTTAAATGTATTAAATAGTTTTAGTATAAACATGTAGGACTATCATAACATTATACATGTAGTTCTTATAGGTGGATGAAGAAATTATTCTATTAAAGTTTAATTAATATTTCAAATGTTTAGGGCTAGAACTTACAGATATAGAAATAACAATTTTGCCTTTTCGACTAAAGTATCAAAAACATGCAACATTCCCTCAAACAGCATAATTCCCATGGAACTGTCGGCATAAAACCTGACATGGACATGGCTGTGAACGTCCACATACAAACTGAAATATCCGTAAACATTTCAGGGTACAAACTGCTGGTTCCATTGCAGAAAGGGTAGGTTATGAAGTTTCGCAGACATGCATGGAAAAACTTTGTAAACAAAGGGAAAATATGTGGGATCAGGCTGTTTATAAGGGTATTGTACAAAAATTACCTACAATCCATTTTTATTAAAAATTTGACTAAGTCTGCAAAAGCGACTAAAATACTCTTAGACTTTAATATCTGCACTGTGTGCCTCTTGAAAAAAAGATCGGAAGTAAAAGCCACGGGGTGAGTGTGTGGGGTTTGTTGGGGTGTATAGACCATAACTCGAGGGAAAAAACATAAGAAATACAAAATGTATGCATACAACTGAGTCCACAAGGAAATGTGGTATGATTACAAATACTTAGTTCTAAAATTTGTAAAAATCTGGGGTGAAAAGTGGTAATATGAAAAAAGTGTATTAAAACTGAAAATTGAGCTTCACAAAAAACAACAAAAACACAGCCTTAAGTCAGAAAAGTAATGTTTACCAGTTGAATCCAAATAAAAAAAAAATGTCAACATAAGTTACATAGCCCCTCCGCAATTCTAAAATTGTAGGTGCATAGTTTTTGCCATTTTATCTTATTATCATTTATTTTATTTTTATTTTATGCCAATTTTCAAGAAATTTTCAAATATAACCTCCCCTTAATAGGTCAAAAGTTGGTCATCATATTCGAAATGTTTCGATTTTGGTAGGTAGATGATCCGTCAATTTTTTTGGCCATTTTTCTCTATTCTTTATGTTATCTATTTTTTTTATTTTCTTGGCCTGTTTTCTCAATTCTTTATCTTTTAGGACCCATTGATTCTCATGTCCTTATTTCGTTGTCCTGTTTTTCTCTATTCTTTATATTTTTGCACATTGACCTATTATTTTCTATTGTGTAGAAACCATACAGACTCTTCTACATGTACGTCATTTGATTATTTGAAAGTCAATTTAATTTGTTTCAAAATAAACTACTGGGTTTGAAATCAAAGAGGAGAAGAGCTCATTGAAACTAGCTCTTCGATTCATGTTAGTCAAGTTTCTGGGTAGATCACCTATAATGAGTCATGATTACCATTTTTGGATGGGACTCAATAAAGTTTTGAAGAAAAGATCAGTTATCGAATGAAGACGGGATTCATCAAAATTTTGAAATATTGACTCATTCACGATCATTAACTAGTGGAATTAAATTCATGTCACTCTAAGAATACTGGAAGATGTCAATCAAATGGTTACGATCTCATTATAATTACCTTTCAATGCTAGTAGGAGTGAACTATTTCAATAGAATGTACAATTACTGATAATTTCAATGCAATGTCTCTTTAGCAATGATATGCATTTGATAGATACCCAATGAAATCAAAGAAATTAGCTTTATATTTAACTAATATATATATATAATATAGGATAATGGTGTTGATGAAAAAGATAACACCATTCCACTTCCTATGGTTTTCCACATAATTAATATTACCAATAATTAACGAGTTTTGGGTCGAATCCGATAGCGATAACACTAGCATATTGCTACTTTGCAGACCCTTTCATTCGGAGCACCCTAATGAGGAGGACACTTAGCAAACCGAATCGGCCTATATTTAATTGGAGCTTTTGCCTACCTTACTCCCAGCTTTGCCGTGACGGGATTTACTAAAGTTAATCTTCTCAAAACATTGCTAAAACATATTTAAAAATAAAAACACACCCATTCAAATTATTCGTTTATTTTAAAAATATAAAAAATGCAAAATAAGAGAAAAGGTCACCTCGGATGCGGCACAAATGCCATGACACCCAACGTGAAACCAGTGAGGACATATTTTGATTCAAAACTGTCCAGTTGTATTCTTGGTAGAGGGAACCCGAAAATCCTACGATAAAGGATATCAGAAAGATATATGTTGATGATCCACAAATGTTTTACTGCAATAAAATAAAGGATCCATTAACTACAACTATCAAATTCAAGGGAACATTTTTTCGACCTATTTTTTGTATGCATCCAGATGTGACGTACTATGATTTGGTGGTATTACACCTCTACTACAGAAATAGATAACCTCAGCTCTATTTTTCAACATTGTAAGGAATTTATGGTTCTCAATGCTCTTCAACTTCGTGATTTATTTGGCTTTTTAAACTTTTTTGATTCGATCGTCACTGATGGGTCTTTTTTTTTAGACGAAACGCGCGTTTGATGCAAATACAAAATTTCAATCCTGGTATCTATGATGAGTTTATTGAGTAGCCTTTCT